ACACTGAGGGCTGTGTGATCGGAGAGAGGACTCTGGTGGTGTTGAGATGCTGTAACTGGCCTGACTTTTCTGTCGATTACTTGCTCTATAGCAGAGATGGACTACACCTAAATGAGGACAGTACAGCTCTGTTGAGGGAGAAATTGGCCAAAATGTTGGAGGAACTTTTAAACTAGGTGGTAAGGAGGAGGGATTGGAGGAAGCTACACCAGGCAGTGAGCAAGGCTCAGAGGGTGCTGATGTGGGCAAAGCTGGTAGTGTAACTATAGTATCTTAGACCAAGGTACATAGGCTGGCAGAATTCTACTGCAGCCTTAGAACAAACAAAGAGAAAATAAAAGGAATGTGCACAAATGCTAGAAGTGATACATGAGGGAAATTTTAACTTCATGGGAATATCAGAAAACCTGGTTTGACAGCTCACAAAGGGCTGTGCCTATATGTCAAGACCGATTTGATAGTGAACATGAGAGATGACACTGTTAACGGAGCAAGGGAGGAGGTGGAATCCTTGTGGTTGGAGCTTTAAAAGTAAGAAACTGTAAATTAATCGTTGGTGTATGTTACAGTCCCCCTAATCTGAAGAATGAAGAGGAGAACAGTCTCCTCTCAGAGTTAGATATGGTAATGAGTAAGGGCAATGGTATTATCATGAGGGGCTTCAAGTATCCTGATATTGACTGGGCAGATGGAACCACTCACTCATCTAAGACTCATCATTTCTTGAATGCTTTGTTTTGCCATGTTTTGCCAATGTAAATATGCTGCAAGTATAGAAAAATACCTGTTGGTCTGCCAGATTTCCAGTGAGCTTCTATTTTCCTAAAGTGAGCTGAGAGCTCTGCCTATGCTGCCCTGAAATTCCAAGCAATAATATCAACCCTGGCCAAATTTTTCTTCTGCTGGTCTACAAACCACTTCCCTTGTTTCGCATCTTCATAACATAAGGGTTTTTTTGGTTCTGAAGGAAAGAACTCAGGCAGGACTGTCAACACTGTTTCAGTGCAACAGAAGCTACATTGTTAAATCACTACAGGAATTTAGATGCTTACTGGACTTGTGGCAGATCAACATGTCATTTTATGGGCTTGAAGTGTTAGGCTCCATGCACACTGGCAAAATGCCAGCCCTTTTGGCAGAAAAAAATTAGTGTTTAGAAGTGTTTAGGAGCGTTTAGCTTTTTTTTTTTTTTTAAAGAAAAACACCTTCAAAAATGCAAAATGGAAGAGTTTTTTTCTGCCTCTAAATGCTGAGCTGAAGAAAAACACCTCTAGAGTAACTAATGTGCATGGACACATAGGATAACATTGATTGTTTCTTCAGACAAAACACTAAACTCCTCTAGGAGCAGTGTTAATTAAGCCAGTGTGCATATTTAAATTACATAATTAAATAATTTTCTAAATTTGACAAGATATTCAGGTTTTTTTTGTTCACATGCCTTCTTTAAAAATATAAAATAATCACAAATTAAGGAATGAAAAGGTGAATTTGAAGCAAATATAAGAAACAGGTTCATGCAGCCGTGTAAAGTATTGATTAACACATCCTTACATATATATGTATTTAAATGCAAGAATTTTAAGTTCCTAAATCTGGCTTGGAATCAGCCTCTTTTAGTCCCGGTATGACAGCACTCAGAGTGGAGATGGAGAAGAAGCAACGAGTCATTCTGTTGTGCTGCAGCGGAAGAAGCATACTAATATAAAGAGAGTACAGAGTGACAGAGACATGGCCTCATCAATCTGCTGGGGCTCCTTTCACCATCCTGTCACAGCCTTAAGGTCCCACTTACACCAGCCTGGTCTGCTGCAGTGCATAAAAAACATGCACATATTGACACGTGTTGCGTCACAATGAATGTTACTGTGTGCTGTGTCAAGACAGCCCAAGCATTTGTATGGGCTGCATAAGCAACTACAATGGACCGAAATTGTGCATGTAGCATTTTTTCATCAGTGCAGGGCACAACAACACACAAAGATTCACAATGAATGACACTGCATTGCACTAATATGTATTAATGCAGAACATTGATGCGAATTTGGTCCTGGGTGTAACTTAACTGTAGCAGAGAAAAATCGGGTCTCCTGCCATGCCAGAAAGGGCTGTGTGAATTTCATGATTGGATGCACAGAGATACAAATCCTCTACCAGATAAAACAGCTCCCATATATCTTTTTTAGACTGTGTATTTAGCTGTTTGCCTGTAGTTCAGCTGTACTGTCAGAGGAACATTAAAAATATTGCTTTCAAAATTTATGATTAGAAACAATGTTTTATAAATTCTCCCACGCAGTATAAAAAGTAATAGTAGGTTACGCAATTTATTCTGTCTGAATTAAAGCATAAAAAATTTAAAAGCTAGATGATAAATCACTGTAATAACACATGATAGAAAAAAATATCCAATAAATATCAATTCAACTGACAGGCAATTCAAATAACAAAATCAAGCAAGCTAGATGATGCCAACAGTGTTATAACAGGTTAATAATAAAGGTAATCCTAGTAAAAAGCCATCATGCGACCTTTGAAATCCTCATTACTAAAAAAGGGGATAGCTGACTATTTCCACTCTCTTTTGCAAAAGCCAATTAAAATATCCCTTGGAACTGACCACAAACATAAGAAGCATCTAGTAGTTTTATTTTATGTAAAATAGGATAATCAATAGTTAGAAGAATGAATAAACACAATACATGAAAGTACATTCCAAGGAGCAGGGCCCTCCTAACCCTCTTGTATTGAACTGTATTGTTGCTGTATTGTCTCCCGTTATATTATAAAGCGCTGAGCAAACTGTTGGTGCTATATAAATCCTGTATAATAATAATAATAATAAGTAAAGGCTACCCACTGCTCTCGTACATGATGCATACAGTTTGTAGGAAATCTCAGTGTAAATGAATCACCTTGAAAGCAGTAACATGACCACTAAGCTTCTGCAGCTATGTGTAAATGAGCAGCTGTTGCAAAGGAACTCTCTTCACTGCCTACAATGGCTAGAGCTGTGGAAGCCGGAAAGTGCCATCATGGCTCTGTTTAATTTAGCCCTGTTGGTGTCTTGACATTTTAAGGATGGTGCTTTAAAGTCACATGATTGCCCAGAAGATGATAAAAAAGGCATTTACATTAAGATTATTTTTACAACCTATATGCGGTTATTTTAGCAACACCTTCTACTTTATTTTCTAAGCCTGAGTCAAAACTACATTCTGTGTATTGGTACTATATATTGCCTTCAGCGTGAGCAAGCAATATACTGTGCCTTGAAAAAGTATCCATACCCCTTGAAATTTTCCACATTTTGTCATGTAAATGTATTTTATTGGGATTTTATGTGAATATCTGAAAAGTGTGGAGTACATTTGTATTCAGCCCCCTTTACTCTGATACCCCTAAGTTAATCTAGTGGAACCAATTGCATTCAGAAGTCACGTAATTAGTAATTTGTTGTACTAAAGGCAAATAGACTGTGCACTTTTCAAAGTGCAGTTAATAAATGAGCAGAGGATGTGCTGATTTCCATCATCCAAGCATGTGTAAGCAATTTTCCTAGCATCCAACTGGGTATTCCTTGCAAGTGAATCGTTATCTCATTTACAAAGCTCTGGAGCAATTGCACTTGCAGAGTGCAACTGCATCTTGTATGTGCACAGTCTATTTGCCTTTAGTAAATCAACCCCATAGAGTCTACCTGTGTGTAATTTAATCTCAGTATAAATACAGCTGTTCTGTGAAGCCCTCAGAGGTTAGAGAACATTAATGAACAAACAGCATCATGAAGATCAAGGAACACACCAGACAGGTCAGGGATAAAAGTTGTGCATAAATTTAAAGCAAGGTTAGATTATAAAAAAAATCCCAAGCTTTGAACATCTGACGGAGCAATGGCACAACTGCAAACCTACCAAGACATGGCAGTGCACCCAAAATAACAGGCCAGGCAAGGAGAGCATTAACCAGAGAAGAAGACAAGAGGCCCATAGTAACTCTAGAGGAGCTGCAGAGATCCACAGCTCAGATGAGAGAATCTGTCCACAGGACAACTATTAGTCGTGCACTCCATAAATCTGGCCTTTATGGAAGAGTGGCAAGAAGAAAACCATTGTTGAATGCCACAAGAAGTCCCATTTGCAGTTTGCGAGAAGCCATGTGGGAGACACAGAAAACATATAGAAGAAGGTGCTCTGATCAGATGACACCAAAATTGAACTTTTTGGTCTAAAAGCAAAATGCAATGTGTGGGGGAAAACTAACACTGCACATCACCCTGAACACACACCATCCCCACAGTGAAACATGGTGATGGCAGCATCATGTTGTGGGGATGCTTTTCTTCAGCAGGGACAGGTAAGTTGGTCAGAATTGATGGGAAGATGGAATGGAGCCAAATACAGGGCAATCTTAGAAGAAAACCTGTAGAGTCTGCAAAAGACTTGAGACTGGGACTATTTTGCAAGGGAGATTGGGCAAAAATGTCACTCTCTAGATGTGCAAAGCTGGTAGAGACATACCCAAAAAGACTTGCAGCTGTAATTGAAGCAAAAGGTGGTTCTACAAAGTATTGACTGAGTACAAATGCATGCCCCACACTTTTCAAATATTTAGTTGTAAAAAATTTGAAAACCATTTTTCATTTTCCTTCCACTTCACAATTATGTGCCACTTTGTGTTGGTCTATCACATAAAATGCCAATAAAATACATTTACATTTTTGGTTGTAAGATGACAAAATGTGAAAAATGTCAAGGGGTATGAATACTTTTTCAAGGCACTGTACAACATATTAATGCTTAAAATGCATGATTTTATAAATCTAAAAGAGCAGTCTAAAAACAAAAAACCACAAGAGTATTAGCATATCAGTATTAGAGATGAGCGAAGTATTCAAAAATTCGATTCGGCGAATTCGAGGAATAAATTTGATTCGAGTCGAATATATATTCGCTGCGAATTTAACTTATAAAAGGGTGTTTCTAGGCTTCAGAGAGCCTTTATATTAGTGCAGAACACTGTACCTTTAATTTAAATGCCCTTGGAGTCTGCTGGGGAAGAGAAATAATACTGTCAGTCAGTATGACATGCAGATGAGTGCCGTCGATCTTAGAATCACCGCACACTTCACTCATTTGGGCAGTCACGGGGCCAAAACCAGAGTGTGGAGCCACAGTGTGGCGGTGGAGGCAGCAGCAATGGGAGGCCATACAGCACCCTATGACAAAAATGGAACCCACCAGCAGTGTGAGGAGACCTGAAAGTGGCACATGGCAGAGTGTGGCGATGGAGACAGCAGCAATGGGAGGCCGTACAGGGACCCATGACACACTCTGGACCTGGCAGCAGCATGAGGAGGCGGTACAGGGGCCCATGGCAGATTACAGGCCTGGCAGCAGCAATGGGAGGCCCGTAATCTGCCAGCACCCTATGACAAAATGGAACACACCAGCAGTGTGAGGAGACCTGAAAGTGGCACATGGCAGAGTGTGGCGATGGAGACAGCAGCAATGGGAGGCCGTACAGGGACCCATGACAGATTACGGGCCTGGCAGCAGCATGAGGAGGCGGTACAAGGGCCCATGGCAGATTACGGGCCTGGCAGCAGCAATGGGAGGCCCGTAATCTGCCAGCACCCTATGACAAAATGGAACCCACCAGCAGTGTGAGGAGACCTGAAAGTGGCACATGTTTGGGGCATGATTCATGGCGGATTTAGTCAGTGTGTGTCAGGAACTGGTGGTTTGAAATCCAGACTAATCCACGCCTGATTCATTTTCACAAACGTGAGTCTCTCCACACTTTGGGTGGACAGTCGTGTCCTCCGCGGAGTTACAATACCTCCTGCCGCACTAAACACGCGCTCCGATGCCACGCTACTGGCCGGGCATGACAGCCTTTCAAGGGCAAATTCAGCTAGTTGGGGCCAAAGGTCAAGTTTCGTTGCCCAGTAGTCAAGGGGATTGTCTACCTCGGTTGGCAGGGTGCTGTCCAAGTAGGCCCAAGCCTGTTGTTTGAGGTCCTGCTCCAGGTCCACCTGATGCTGCTGCTGCTGCGGCTGGTTAGTAGTTTCCTCACTGCGCTGGTGAAGAAAGCTACTCATCATCGACTGCAGACTGAGGCAGCCGCTGCTGGTGGAGCTGCCACTGCTCCTACCACCCCACCCCTCCCCTGCTGCCATGGCAGCGGAACGCGAGCGCACAGGGCCCACAGTGCCTGAGGATGGACGTTGGCGCAGAAAGGCAGAGACCAACTGACTACATAGGTGGTTTTTATAGTACTTTATTTTGGCCTCCCTCTCAGCAGGTGTGAAAAAGGCCACCATTTTTGAACGGTAGCGAGGGTCCAACAAGGTGGACAGCCAAAAGTCATCCCTCTGTCTGATGGTTATTATTCGGCTGTCGCTACGCAAGCAACCGAGCATGCTATGGGCCATTTGTGCCAAGGAATGCGAGGGACTCCCTGCCTCCATCTCCACAGCATACTGCCACGGTGCGTCTGGGTCCTCTGTCTCCTCCTCCTCCTCCTCTACCAGATGCTCCTGCTCCTCCACTCCTGTCCGCTGAGTGGAAAAACCACCCATTTCACTCAATAATTCCTGAGCACCAATGTTCTCCTCTACCTCCTCCTCTTCTTCCTGTCCTGCCCCCACAGGGGTCATGTGGCGTTGAGATCTGTGCGCCACGTCTACCGCACCCTGACCAGCCATTGTTAACAGCATTTGTTCCAGGACGTGCAACAGAGGAATGACGTTGTTCATCCCATAGTCCTGCCGACTCACGAATAGCGTGGCCTCCTCAAAGGGCCTGAGCAAGCGGCAGGTGTCACGCATGAGCTGCCAATGGCTGACATCTAAGTTGCACAGGGGAGTACCTTTATCCGCTTGTAACATCAGGAAATCGGTGATGGCCTTTCGCTGTTCGTAAAGTCGGTCTAACATATGTAGGGTTGAATTCCACCTTGTTGCAACGTCACAGCATGAGGAGTCGGTACGGGGGCCCATGGCAGATGGATGACAGCAGCAATGGGAGGCCGTACAGGGACCCATGAGAGACTCTGGACCAGGCAGCAGCATGAGGAGGCGGTACGGTACGGGGGGCCCATGGCAGATTACGGGCCTGGCAGCAGCAATGGGAGGCCCATAATCTGCCAGCACCCTATGACAAAATGGAACACACCAGCAGTGTGAGGAGACCTGAAAGTGGCACATGGCAGAGTGTGGCGATGGAGACAGCAGCAATGGGAGGCCGTACAGGGACCCATGAGACACTGTGGACCTGGCAGCAGCATGAGGAGGAGGCGGTACGGTGGGCCCATGGCAGATTACAGGCCTGGCTCCAGCAGCAGCAGCAAAATGTGGGAGGCCCGAAAGTGGCACATGGCAGAGTGTGGCGATGGATGACAGCAGCACCCTATGACAAAATGGAACACACCAGCAGTGTGAGGAGACCTGCAATTACGGGCCTGGGCACATGGCAGAGTGTGGCGATGGAGGCAGCAGCAATGGGAGGGCCGTACAGGGACCACCAGCATGAGAGACTCTGGACCTGGGAAAAGCAGCAGAGTGGAGGGCGGTACGGGAGCCCATGGCAGGATTACGGGCCTGGCCACGGGCTTGCAGCAGGAGTTGGTACGGGGGCCCATGGCAGATTACGGGCCTGGCAGCAGCAATGGGAGGCCGTAATCTGCCAGCACCCTATGACAAAATGGAACACACCAGCAGTGTGAGGAGACCTGAAAGTGGCACATGGCAGAGTGTGGCGTGTGGCGATGGAGACAGCAGCAATGGGAGGCCGTACAGGGACCCATGAGACACTGTGGACCTGGCAGCAGCATGAGGAGGCGGGGGTACGGGGGCCCATTGCAGATTACGGGCCTGGCAGCAGCAATGGGAGGCCCGTAATCTGCCAGCACCCTATGACAAAATGGAACACACCAGCAGTGTGAGGAGACCTGAAAGTGGCACATGGCAGAGTGTGGGCGATGGAGACAGCAGCAATGGGAGGCCGTACAGGGACCCATGAGACACTCTGGACCTGGCAGCAGCATGAGGAGGCGGTACAGGGGCCCATGGCAGATTACGGGCCTGGCAGCAGCAATGGGAGGCCCGTAATCTGCCAGCACCCTATGACAAAATGGAACACACCAGCAGTGTGAGGAGACCTGAAAGTGGCACATGGCAGAGTGTGGCGATGGAGACAGCAGCAATGGGAGGCCGTACAGGGACCCATGAGACACTCTGGACCTGGCAGCAGCATGAGGAGGCGGTACAGGGGCCCATGGCAGATTACGGGCCTGGCAGCAGCAATGGGAGGCCCGTAATCTGCCAGCACCCTATGACAAAATGGAACCCACCAGCAGTGTGAGGAGACCTGAAAGTGGCACATGGTAGAGTGTGGCGATGGAGACAGCAGCAATGGGGAGGCCGTACAGGGACCCATGAGACACTCTGGACCTGGCAGCAGCATGAGGAGGCGGTACGGGGGCCCATGGCAGATTACGGGCCTGGCAGCAGCAATGGGAGGCCCGTAATCTGCCAGCACCCTATGACAAAATGGAACCACACCAGCAGTGTGAGGAGACCTGAAAGTGGCACATGGCAGAGTGTGGCGATGGAGACAGCAGCAATGGGAGGCCGTACAGGGACCCATGAGACACTGTGGACCTGGCAGCAGCATGAGGAGCCGGTACAGGGGCCCATGGCAGATTACAGGCCTGGCAGCAGCAATGGGAGGCCGTAATCTGCCAGCACCCTATGACAAAATGGAACACACCAGCAGTGTGAGGAGACCTGAAAGTGGCACATGGCAGAGTGTGGCGATGGAGACAGCAGCAATGGGAGGCCGTACAGGGACCCATGAGACACTGTGGACCTGGCAGCAGCATGAGGAGGCGGTACGGGGGCCCATGGCAGATTACGGGCCTGGCATCAACAATGGGAGGCCCGTAATCTGCCAGCACCCTATGACAAAATGGGAAACCCACCAGCAGTGTGAGGAGACCTGAAAGTGGCACATGGCAGAGTGTGGCGATGGAGACAGCAGCAAGATGGGAGGCCGTACAGGGACCCAACATGAGACACTCTGGACCTGGCAGCAGCATGAGGAGGCAGTACGGGGGGCCCATGGCAGATTACGGGCCTGGCAGCAGCAATGGGAGGCCCGTAATCTGCCAGCACCCGATGACAAAATGGAACCCACCAGCAGTGTGAGGAGACCTGAAAGTGGCAGTCCATGGCAGAGTGTGGCGATGGAGACAGCAGCAATGGGAGGCCGTACAGGGACCCATGAGACACTGTGGATGGACCTGGGGACAGCTGCTTGATGAGGGGTTGAAGTGTACAGGGGAGCCATAGGCAGATTACGAGGCTACGGCAGGCAGCGGAAATGGGATGGAACCGTGATTCTGGCTGGCAGCAGCCCTATGGGAGGCAATCATGCAACTATGACACCTGGAACAAAGCGTGTGGTGGACCTGAGAAAGTGAAAATCACTGGGAGTGAGGCGTCCCCCATGAAGCAGATTAGGGAGGTCCAGGCATTATGGTACCTCCCCCAATAACAACTATATACAATTGTGGTATAGGTGCCCTTCCATAATGCACCCTCCCCTCCCATCCCCAAACCCACTCCCACATGGGTTTATGTGTACGTTGTGTATTCACTGGGGGCCTACCATGATCAACAACAGAGGTTGCGATGTGTACAACATGGGGCTCGGTATCTCCGGGGGGGGAGGGGGTGGGTTTCGGGGGTTTTAATGTGGTAAGACTTCGCTGGCAGGGTGTGGTGTGGATGAGAGGGGGAATTAAGGGTGGTGTCGGATCTGGGGGGAGCGGTTAAGTAATGGGGGGTTGGAGCACGGCGATAGCGTAACTGGGAACGTGGCTGAGGGGGAGGGGGGGGCTGGTCGCATGGTCGGGGTGGAGGGATTATTACAAGGCGGGGGGGACCGATGGTGCACCACACACCAAAAGGTGACAAGTGGGGTAGTGGATTCGAGTTAGTTTGGGGGTCCACCACCCATTGGGCAACAGCAAACCACCACAACAGGGGAGAAGGTGGAGGGTCGAAATAGCCAAACCCACACATGCGGGAATGGCCAGGGGGAAATGACTGAGGGGGCAACACAAGGGGGCGGCCGTAATAGGGGAAGGGGGGGGTTCATCTGGTGGGGGATTGGGAGGTGATGGGGGGCAAACGGGCCCACGGGTTTTGGGGCAATGCACACCAAATTTACTCTATAGGTGGGTGGTTGAGGGATTTGGGAATTGGGTGGATGGGTTGCACGTTCTCGCGAAGGGGTGTAGAGCCATTTAGGGATGCAAACGGGTGGGGGGGTCAAGTGGCATTAAGGGAGACCCCACCACCACCCCCCACCCGCCACACACCATGACCACCCACACACACCACCTCCCCGGTATGGGTGAATATGGGGCGTATTGGAGGAATGTGGATTTGCGGGGGAGTAGAGGTTGGGAGGTGGGGGAGGCGGGTTGATAAGGGCTTAGGACCTACACCCTCGAAAGGTCGTTCAGGGAGAGTTTAGTGGTGAGGGTCGGACCGGGTGGGGGAGGGGTGGGTAGGAGCGGGAGGGCGAGTAGCGCGGAAAAAGGTGGGGGTGCTATTAGTGGTACGAACGGGGGGGATCTGAGCTGTTGGTCGGCATTTATGATTTTTGGGGGGGGTGGGAGGGTGGACGGGTGCCCTGTGGATAGTAAGTGGGTTGTAGATGTGTGGGGACCGGGAAACGGTGTGGGGGGTGGTAGGGGTTTGGGGGATAATGGTTGGTAATGCTAAGGACCCGGGGGTGGCGGAACGAAACCCTGGTTGGAGGAGCTCGAAGGGGGTGGGGGGGGTAGAGGGGGGGGTTGGGTAGGGGTTGAGGAAAGCGAGATAAGCGTGGCGGGAGGGGGCTGCTCGAAGGTGGGGAGTAGGGAGGGCAGGGTATGAGTGGAGTGGGCGATTTATAATGGGGGGTGGGGGGGTGCTGGATGGGGTAATGGTCGGTGGGAGTGGGGCGGTGGGGGGAGTTTGGTAGGGGGTAGGGACTTGGTTTCGGGGGGGTGTGGTGGGGGCACAGTATGGGGTGGGTGGGGAGGTGGGGGGAAGGTAGAGGGGTAGGGGTAGGGGGTGGGTGGGGGGGATGTAGGGAGGGGGGGGGGAGGCCATCGGGAGGGCAGGTAGAGGTAGGGGGGGATGGGGGAAGGGGGTCCGGGGGTGGAAGGCGGGGGTAGGTGCGGGGGGGCGGTGGGGCGGGGACGGGGTGGGGAGGGGGGAGTTTTGGGCGGGACGGGGGGAGGGGGGGGGGGGGGGGGGGGGGGGGGGGGGGATGAGGGGGTAGGGTCGGGGGGATGAGGGGGGGTAGGGTACGTGGAAGGGGGGGGAGGTGGGGGGAATGCAGGGTAGCATTGCGGGGGATCAGGGGTTGGGGAGGGGTGTGGGATAGGGGGCGGGTAGGGCGGGGGAGGGTTGGAATGGGGTGGGATGGGGTGGGTTAGGGGGGGTGGGGGGGGGTGGAGGGGAGGGGGGTGTGAAGGGCGACGGGGTCAAGGGGGGGGGGTAGGGGGGGGGAAAAGTATGAACTGGGGGGGTATGTAGGGGCGATGGGGGGGGAGGAGGGGGGGGGGGCGGGAAGTGGGGTAGGGGGGTAGGGCATGGGGGGTGTTGTTTTGTAGGGAGGGAGGAAGGGGGTGTAGCGGGGGGGTGGAAGGGGAGTAAAGGCTCTTAGGGGTGGCAGGGGGGGGGGGGTTATTCGAAGGGGGTGTAGAGTATGATTGTGGGGTTGGGCGGGAGGTAGGGTGGCGGGTAGGGGGACATGTGGGGGAGGTGGGGCGGGGGGGGGGGGGGAAGCTTGGCCATGTGGTTTTAGGACGCAGGGAGGGGAGGGGGGGGATATGGGGGGGGGGGGGGTGGGGTGACTGTGGTCAAGGAGGGGGGGTGGGGGGGGGGGGGGGGGTTGCGGAGGGAAGGGGGGGTGAGGAGTGGTGGAAGGGGGTCGGGGGTTACGGGGGGGGGGGGTTGGGGGGGGGAAAGGGAGGCGGGGGGGGGGGGATGGGGGGGAGATAGGGGGGAGGGGGCGTGGGGGGGGGGGGATTGGAGACGAGGGGAGTGGGGGGACGGGGGTGCTGGGGTCGGCTGGGAGGGGGGATTCCGGGGTGGGGGTTGGGGGGGGAAGGGGGGGGAGGGGTCGCGGTGGGGGGGGAGTTGGCGGTTGGGGGAGGGGGGATGTGGGGGGGAGGGGGGGGGGGGGGTGGAGTGAGGGGTGTGGGTGGGGGGGGTGTAGGGGGCGGGTTGGGGTGGTGAGGGGGTGGTGATGGTGGGGGGGGTGGGGGTATGGGGGGCGTTGGAGCATGGGGGTGAATAGGGGGGGGTGTTGGGGGGAAGGCATTGAGGGCGGGAAAGGGGAGGTATTGGGTGGGGGGGTTGGGCGGGGGGGGGGGTGGGGGGGGGTTTGGAGACGGGTTTGGGGTAGGGGGGAGTCATATGGTGGGATTATGATGGGGGGGGTTGGGGGGGGGGGGTGGGGGGAGCGGGGGTGGGTGAAGGGGGGGGGTGGGGGGGGAGAGGGGGTGGGGTGGCGGGGGGGGGGGGGGGTGGGGGGTGGGTGACAGCTAAGGGAGGGGGGGGTGGGGTGGGGAGAGGGGGTGGGGGGAGGGAGGGTGGGTGGGGGGGGTGGTGGGGGGGGGTTGGGGGGTGGAGGGGTGGGGGGCATGTGGTTTGAGGGAGGTGGGGGGGGTGGTGGGAGGGGTGGTAGGGGTTGGGGGGGGGGGTAGGGGGGGTTGTGGGGGGGAGGGGGGGGGTTGAGTGGTGGTAGGGGGGGGAGGGGTGGGGGGTGGGGGGGGGGGGAGGGGGGTGGGAGACGGGGGGGTAGCTGAGGGGGTAGGGGCTGGCGGGGGGGATTGTGGTGGGAGGGCAAGGGGGGTAGTGGGTGGTGGGGGGGTGTCATGAGGGGTGACTAGATGGGGGGACTGGCAGAGGTGGTGTGGGTGGGGGGGGGGAGTAGGGGGTTGGGGGGGGGAGTGGGGGGGGGGGGCGGGGTGGAGTAGGGGGGTCGAAGGGGGTTGTGAGGGGTAGGGGGGGGGGGGAACAGGTCATTGTCCGTGGTGGGGGGGGGACTGATAGGGGGATAGGGGGGGAGGCCTATGGGCTGAGAGTGGGGGGGTTTCAAAGTGTGTGTCGGGGTGAGTGGGTGTAAGAGGTGCTTGGGGGGGACCGATGGGGTTTGGTGTTGGTAGTAGGTGAGGGGATGGCGGGGTTTGGCTAAATTGGGGATACGGTGTCGGGGTCGCGGGCGGAATAGGGGGTGGGTAGGGGGGGCATCTGAGAGGGACAGAGGCGGGAGGAGGTGTGGGGGGGGGGCGACTTTATGGTGGGTTGAGTGGGGGGTTAGTAGGTGTGGTCTTGAGTCGGGACGGAGGTGGGGGTGGGGGGTTAGGTATGTGCGGGGTTATTGAAGGTTATTGTTGGGAGGGGGGGTACGGCTAGGTGGGGTGGAGTTGCTGGTGGAGGGTAGGGTGGTTTATTGTATTTGAAGTGGTTGGCATGGCTTTGTTGTTGTTAGGGGGTTGTGGGGGGTAGGGGGTTGAACGGTTTTGTATTTGGTTATTAGGCGGGGAGAGGTTTGGTGCTGTGGGGCGGTCTTGGGGCGGGGGTGGCCGGCTGGGGGAGGTGGAGTGGAGGGTGGAGTCGGGGTGGGGGTGGGGGCAAGGATGAGGGAGGGGGTGGGGGGAGGTAGGTGAGGGGTAAGGGTGTGTATGGGTGTGGGGGGGTGGGAGTCGGGGAGATGTCGGTGGCGGGGGGGGGTGGATGAGGGGGGGGGTGGGGAGTGGGGGAGGGGGCAACATATAGTGGAGGATCTCGGGGGCGGGGTGGGGGGGGGGGGGTAGGATGAGGGTGTAGGGGGGGGTGAGGGGGAGATAGGTGAGGTAGGGTGGGTTGGGGGGTGGGGGGGCGGGGGGGGGGGGGGGAGGGGGATAGGGTGTTTGGTGGCGTTGAATTTGAGTTTGTTAATGGGTTTGGGACGGGGGGTGCGGGGGGGGGGTGGGGGGTAGGGGGGGATCCAGGGTGGTGGGAGGGGGGTGAGGATAATGTGTTAGTGTTAATGAAACTCGGTTTGGGAGGGGGTGAACAGGGGTTTGTGGATTGAAAGGTGGTAGGAGTTTTCATTTATGTTTAAATTGACCATAATAGATTGCCATTTGGCGGGGATGATTTTGGTTGGGGAATTTTTTTTACCCAGCAGTGTGAGGAGACCTTTATAGTGGCACATGGAGTGTGTCGGCGATGAAGATTGCAGCAATGGGAGTGCCTGTATACAGGGACACCATGAGTTGTCATTCTGGACCTTGGCGCAGCATTGAGGAGTTCAGAGAGTTACTAAGTAGATGAGAAAGGGCCCATCGGCAGATGACATAGGGGCCAAGCAAAATAGCTATGGTGTTGGGCCTCGTAATCTGCCAGCCACCCTACTATTCAAAATGGAAAAAATGCAGTAGTGAGGTGACCTAATATTGGCACCTGCACCGTGTAGTAGGGACCAGCCAGCCTGAGAAGGTGTTACAGGGGCCCAAGTCATTTGGATTGGGCAGAGCTATGGAGGCCCGTATGGCTTCCAATGGACAAAAAATGGAACACAGCATTAGTGATTGGCTTTTGTGATTGTGTGCGGACAGCAGCAATGAAGACTGTGACCTGGCAGCCAGCATGAGGAGGCGGAGGGGCCCAAGTGGCAGATTGTTAGGGGCCTGGAGCAAGCAATGAGAGGCCCGTTATAACTGCCAGCACCTTGACAAAAAAATTAACAATGCCAATGGAAGCCAGGGAAAAGAGATAGACGCAGGAAAGCACATGGCAGAGTGTGGCATGGAAACAGCAGCAATCAAGGCAACAGTATGGGGAAGGTCCAGCTGAATGTCATGAGGAGGTATGAAAAAAGGACTGCCAGCCCCCTTGTAGTTTGAGCCAGGCAGCTACAGCACACTTGCAAAGAATGGAACCAGCAGCTGCAATGTGTGAGGGAGATCTGAGGAGACCCTGAAAGTGGCACCAAAGGCATGGCAGAGGAGACCTGTGTATGGCGATGGAGACAGCAGCAATGGGGGCCGTACAGCGACCCATGACAGACTCTGTGCAGCAGCATGGGAGGCGCGTACAGGGGGCAGATAGGGCATGGATGCAACTGCCGGCGACTTGTGGATGTAGTGCCAGGATCAGTATTTGCACCAGGGCAAGATTAGGACCTGTATAGGGCGATGGAGGCCGAATCTGCCAGCAGGTAGATAATGGAACACACCCACAGGTGTGATGAACAGCAAATGGGAGGCGTTATCAGTACAGATGGAATGACAGCACTGATTGGCAGCACCGCTGGCAATGAGGAGCTAGGTACGGAAAAGTGGCGACATGGGAGATTAGGCAAGCCTTGCCGCTAGCAGCAATTACCAGGCCCGTAATCAGGATGCCAGCAGGCCTATGACAAGGCGATACAGGGGACCCATGACCAGGAACGTTTCACTGAGGGACCTAGGAAAGTGGCACATGGCATGATGAGGGCGATGCGGGACAGCAGGGAATGGGAGGCGGGGTTACAGGCAATTTACAGATGGGACCTGGCAGCAGCAATGAGGAGGCGGTACGTATCACACCGGGGCGTATGGTAAGCATATACGGGCCTGGCAGCGCAACGTTTGGAGGCCAGAGCACCCTATGACAAAAAAATGGATGGAGACAGCAGCAATGGGAGGCCGTACAGGGACCCATGAGACACACTCTGGACCTGGCTGCAGCAGCATGAGGAGGCGGTACAGGGGCCCATGGCAGATTAGGGGCCTGGCAGCAGCAATGGGAGGCCCGTAATCTGCCAGCACCCTATGACAAAAAATGGAACACACCAGCTGTGTGAGGAGACCTGAAAGTGGCACATGGCAGAGTGTGGCGATGGAGACAGCAGCAATGGGAGGCCGTACAGGGACCCATGAGAGACTCTGGACCTGGCAGCAGCATGAGGAGGCGGTACAGGGGGGCCCATGGCAGATTGGGGGGCCTGGCAGCAGCAGCAATGGGAGGCCCGTAATCTGCCAGCACCCTATGACAAAAAATGGAACACACCAGCAGTGTGTGAGGAGACCTGAAAGTGGCACATGGCAGAGTGTGGCGATGGAGACAGCAGCAATGGGAGGGCCGTACAGGGACCCATGAGACACTCTGGACCTGGCAGCAGCATGAGGAGGCAGGGGGTACGGGGGCCCATGGCAGATTTAGGGGCCTGGCAGCAGCAAATGGGGGAGGCCCGTAATCTGCCAGCACCCTATGACAAAAAATGGAACACACCAGCAGTGTGAGGAGACCTGAAAGTGGCACATGGCAGAGTGTGGCGATGGAGACAGCAGCAATGGGAGGCCGTACAGGGACCCATGAGACACTCTGGACCTGGGCAGCAGCATGAGGAGGAGGCGGTACGGGGGCCCATGGCAGATTAGGGGCCTGGCAGCAGCAATGGGAGGCCCGTAATCTGCCAGCACCCTATGACAAAATGGAACCCACCAGCAGCAGTGTGAGGAGACCTGAAAGTGGCACATGGCAGAGCAGAGTGTGGCGATGGAGACAGCAGCAATGGGAGGCCGTACAGGGACCCATGAGACACTCTGGACCTGGCAGCAGCATGAGGAGGCGGTAGGAGGGGGGGGCCCATGGCAGATTACGGGCCTGGCAGCAGCAATGGGAGGCCCGTAATCTGCCAGCACCCTATATGAAAAAAATGAACACACACCAGCAGTGTGAGGAGACCTGAAAGTGGCACATGGCAGTGTGTGTGGCGATGGAGACAGCAGCAATGGGAGGCCGTACAGGGACCCATGAGACACTCTGGACCTGGCAGCAGCATGAGGAGGCGGTCAGGGGCCCATGGCAGATTAGGGGCCTGGCAGCAGCAGCAATGGGAGGCCCGTAATCTGCCAGCACCCTATGACAAAAAAATGGAACACACCAGCAGTGTGAGGAGACCTGAAAGTGGCACATGGCAGAGTGTGGCGATGGAGACAGCAGCAATGGGAGGCCGTACAGGGACCCATGAGAGACTGGTGGACCTGGCAGCAGCATGAGGAGGCGGTACGGGGGCCCATGGCAGATTACGGGCCTGGCAGCAGCAATGGGAGGCCCGTAATCTGCCAGCACCCTATGACAAAAAATGAAACACACCAGCAGTGTGAGGAGACCTGAAAGTGGCACATGGCAGAGTGTGGCGATGGAGACAGCAGCAATGGGAGGCCGTACAGGGACCCATGAGACTTCACTCTGGACCTGGCAGCAGCATGAGGAGGCGGTACGGGGGGCCCATGGCAGATTACGGGCCTGGCAGCAGCAATGGGAGGCCCGTAATCTGCCAGCACCCACTATGAAAAAATGGAACACACCAGCAGTGTGAGGAGACCTGAAAGTGGCACATGGCAGAGTGTGGCGATGGAGACAGCAGCAATGGGAGGCCGCCGTACAGGGACCCATGAGAGACACTCTGGACCTGGGCAGCAGCATGAGGAGGGAGGCGGTACAGGGGGCCCATGGCAGATTAGGGGCCTGGCAGCAGCAGCAGCAATGGGAGGCCCGTAATCTGCCAGCACCCTATGACAAAATGGAACACACACCAGCAGTGTGATGTGGAGACCTGAAAGTGCACACATGGGCAGAGTGTGGCGATGGAGACAGCAGCAATGGGAGGCCGTACAGGGACCCATGAGACACTCTGGACCTGGGCAGCAGCATGAGGAGGCGGTACGGGGGGCCCATGGCAGATTACGGGCCTGGCAGCAGCAATGGGAGGCCCGTAATCTGCCAGCACCCTATGACAAAAAATGGAACACACCAGCAGTGTGTGAGGACCTGAAAGTGGCACATGGCACATGGCAGAGTGTGGCGATGGAGACAGCAGCAATGGGAGGCCGTACAGGGACCCATGACACTCTGGACCTGGCAGCAGCATGAGGAGGCGGGTACAGGGGCCCATGGCAGATTTAGGGGCCTGGCAGCAGCAATGGGAGGCCCGTAATCTGCCAGCACCCTATGACAAAAAAATGGAAACACACCAGCAGTGTGAGGAGACCTGAAAGTGGCACATGGCAGAGTGTGGCGATGGAGACAGCAGCAATGGGAGGCCGTACAGGGACCCATGAGAGACTCTGGACCTGGCAGCAGCATGAGGAGGCGGCGGTACGGGGGCCCATGGCAGATTACGGGCCTGGCAGCAGCAATGGGGAGGCCCGTAATCTGCCAGCACCCTATGACAAAAAAAAACACACACCAGCAGTGTGAGGAGACCTGAAAGTGGCACATGGCAGAGTGTGGCGATGGAGACAGCAGCAATGGGAGGCACAGGGACCCATGAGACACTCTGGACCTGGCAGCAGCATGAGGAGGCGGTACAGGGGCCCATGGCAGATTACGGGCCTGGCAGCAGCAATGGGAGGCCCGTAATCTGCCAGCACCCTATGACAAAAAAATGGCAAAAACACACCAGCAGTGTGAGGAGACCTGAAAGTGGCACATGGCAGAGTGTGGCGATGGAGACAGCAGCAATGGGAGGCCGTACAGGGACCCATGAGACACTCTGGACCTGGCAGCAGCATGATGAGGAGGCGGGTACGGGGGCCCATGGCAGATTACGGGCCTGGCAGCAGCAATGGGAGGCCCGTAATCTGCCAGCACCCTATGAAAAAAATGGAACACACCAGCAGTGTGAGGAGACCTGAAAGTGGCACATGGCAGAGTGTGGCGATGGAGACAGCAGCAATGGGAGGCCGTACAGGGACCCATGAGAGACACTCTGGACCTGGCAGCAGCATGAGGAGGCGGTACAGGGGGCCCATGGCAGATTACGGGCCTGGCAGCAGCAATGGGAGGCCCGTAATCTGCCAGCACCCCCTATGACAAAAAAAAATGGAACACACCAGCAGTGTGAGGAGACCTGAAAAGTGGCACATGGCAGAGTGTGTGGCGATGGAGACAGCAGCAGCAGCAAGGTGTGGGCCCATGGGAGGCCGCGTACATGGGGCCGTACAGGGACCCATGAGACACTGTGGACCTGGCAGCAGCATGAGGAGGCGGTAGGGTACGGGGGCCCATGGCAGATTACGGGCCTGGCAGCAGCAATGGGAGGCCCGTAATCTGCCAGCACCCTATGACAAAATGGAAACACACCAGCAGTGTGAGGAGACCTGAAAGTGGCACATGGCAGAGTGTGGTGTGGCGATGGAGACAGCAGCAATGGGAGGCCGTACAGGGACCCATGAGACACTCTGGACTGGCTGGCAGCATGATGAGGAGGCGGTACAGGGGCCCATGGCAGATTACGGGCCTGGCAGCAGCAATGGGAGGCCCGTAATCTGCCAGCACCCTATGACAAAAAATGGAATGGAACACACCAGCAGTGTGAGGAGACCTGAAAGTGGCACATGGCAGAGTGTGTGGCGATGGAGACAGCAGCAATGGGAGGCCGTACAGGGACCCATGAGACTCTGGACTCTGGACCTGGCAGCAGCATGAGGAGGCGGTACAGGGGCCCATGGCAGATTACGGGCCTGGCAGCAGCAGCAATGGGAGGCCCGTAATCTGCCAGCACCCTATGACACAAAATGGAACACACCAGCAGTGTGAGGAGACCTGAAAAGTGGCACATGGCAGAGTGTGGCGATGGAGACAGCAGCAATGGGAGGCCGTACAGGGACCCATGAGACACTCTGGACCTGGCAGCAGCATGAGGAGGCGGGTACAGGGGCCCATGGCAGATTACGGGGGCCTGGCAGCAGCAGCAATGGGAGGCCCGTAATCTGCCAGCACCCTATGACAAAAAAATGGAACACACCAGCAGTGTGAGGAGACCTGAAAGTGGCATGGCAGAGTGGCAGAGTGTGGCGATGGAGACAGCAGCAATGGGAGGCCGTACAGGGACCCATGAGAGACACTCTGGACCTGGCAGCAGCATGAGGAGGGCGGTACGGGGGCCCATGGCAGATTAGGGGCCTGGCAGCAGCAATGGGAGGCCCGTAATCTGCCAGCACCCTATGACAAAATGGAACACACCAGCAGTGTGAGGAGACCTGAAAGTGGCACATGGCAGCAGAGTGTGGCGATGGAGACAGCAGCAATGGGAGGCCGTACAGGGGACCCCATGACACTCTGGACCTGGCAGCAGCATGAGGATGAGGGCGGTACGGGGGGGCCCATGGCAGATTACGGGCCTGGCAGCAGCAATGGGAGGCCCGTAATCTGCCAGCACCCTATGACAAAAAATGGAACACACCAGCAGTGTGAGGAGACCTGAAAGTGGCACATGGCAGAGTGTGGCGATGGAGACAGCAGCAATGGGAGGCGCCGTACAGGGACCCATGAGAGACTCTGGACCTGGCAGCAGCATGAGGAGGTAGGGGTGGGGGTACAGGGGCCCATGGCAGATTACGGGCCTGGCAGCAGCAATGGGAGGCCCGTAATCTGCCAGCACCCTATGACAAAAATGGAACACACCAGCAGTGTGAGGAGGACCTGAAAGTGGCACATGGCAGAGTGTGGCGATGGAGACAGCAGCAATGGGAGGCCGTACAGGGACCCATGAGAGACTCTGGACCTGGCAGCAGCATGAGGAGGCGGGGTACGGGGGCCCATGGCAGATTAGGGGGCCTGGCAGCAGCAATGGGAGGCCCGTAATCTGCCAGCACCCTATGACAAAAAAATGGAACACACCAGCAGTGTGAGGAGACCTGAAAGTGGCACATGGCAGAGTGTGGCGATGGAGACAGCAGCAATGGGAGGCCGTACAGGGACCCATGAGACACTCTGGACCTGGCAGCAGCATGAGGAGGAGGCGGTACAGGGGCCATGGCAGATTAGGGGCCTGGCAGCAGCAATGGGAGGCCCGTAATCTGCCAGCACCCTATGACTATGAAAAAATGGAACACACCAGCAGTGTGAGGAGACCTGAAAGAAAGTGGCACATGGCAGAGTGTGGCGATGGAGACAGCAGCAATGGGAGGCCGTACAGGGACCCATGAGACACTCTGGACCTGGCAGCAGCATGAGGGGAGGCGGTACGGGGGCCCATGGCAGATTAGGGGCCTGGCAGCAGCAATGGGAGGCCCGTAATCTGCCAGCACCCTATGACAAAATGGAACACACCAGCAGTGTGAGGAGACCTGAAAGTGGCACATGGCAGAGTGTGGCGATGGAGACAGCAGCAATGGGAGGCCGTACAGGGGACCCATGAGACACTCTGGACCTGGCAGCAGCATGAGGAGGCGGTACAGGGGCCCATGGCAGATTACGGGCCTGGCAGCAGCAGCAATGGGAGGCCCGTAATCTGCCAGCACCCTATGACAAAAAAATGGACACACACCAGCAGTGTGAGGAGACCTGAAAGTGGCACATGGCAGAGTGTGGCGATGGAGACAGCAGCAGCAATGGGAGGCCGCCGTACAGGGACCCATGATGAGAGACACTCTGGACCTGGCAGCAGCATGAGGAGGCGCGGTACAGGGGCCCATGGCAGATTAGGGGCCTGGCAGCAGCAATGGGAGGCCCGTAATCTGCCAGCACCCTATGACAAAAAATGGAACACACCAGCAGTGTGAGGAGACCTGAAAGTGGCACATGGCAGAGTGTGGCGATGGAGACAGCAGCAATGGGAGGCCGTACAGGGGGAGACCATGAGATGAGGACTCTGGACCTGGCAGCAGCATGAGGAGGCGGGGTACAGGGGCCCATGGCAGATTACGGGCCTGGCAGCAGCAATGGGAGGCCCGTAATCTGCCAGCACCCTATGACAAAATGGAACACACCAGCAGTGTGAGGAGACCTGAAAGTGGCACATGGCAGAGTGTGGCGATGGAGAGAGACAGCAGGGCAATGGGAGGCCGTACAGGGACCCATGAGAGACTCTGGACCTGGCAGCAGCATGAGGAGGCGGTACAGGGGCCCATGGCAGATTACGGGCCTGGCAGCAGCAATGGGAGGCCCGTAATCTGCCAGCACCCTATGACAAAAAATGGAACACACCAGCAGTGTGAGGAGACCTGAAAGTGGCACATGTTTGGGGCATGATTCATGGCGGATTTAGTCAGTTGTGTCAGGAACTGGTGGTTTGAAATCCAGACTAATCCACGCCTGATTCATTTTCACAAACGTGAGAGTCTCTCCACACTTTGGGTGGACAGTCGTGTCCTCCGCGGAGTTACAATACCTCCTGCCGCACTAAACACGCGCTCCGATGCCACGCTACTGGCCGGGCATGACAGCCTTTCAAGGGCAAATTCAGCTAGTTGGGGCCAAAGGTCAAGTTTCGTTGCCCAGTAGTCAAGGGGATTGTCTACCTCGGTTGGCAGGGCTGTCCAAGTAGGCCCAAGCCTGTTGTTTGAGGTCCTGCTCCAGGTCCACCTGATGCTGCTGCTGCTGCTGCGGCTGGTTAGTAGTTTCCTCACTGCGCTGGTGAAGAAAGCTACTCATCATCGACTGCAGACTGAGGCAGCCGCTGCTGGTGGAGCTGCCACTGCTCCTACCACCCCACCCCTCCCCTGCTGCCATGGCAGCGGAACGCGAGCGCACAGGGCCCACAGTGTCTGAGGATGGACGTTGGCGCAGAAAGGCAGAGACCAACTGACTACATAGGTGGTTTTTATAGTACGTTATTTTGGCCTCCCTCTCAGCAGGTGTGAAAAAGGCCACCATTTTTGAACGGTAGCGAGGGTCCAACAAGGTGGACAGCCAAAAGTCATCCCTCTGTCTGATGGTTATTATTCGGCTGTCGCTACGCAAGCAACCGAGCATGCTATGGGCCATTTGTGCCAAGGAATGCGAGGGACTCCCTGCCTCCATCTCCACAGCATACTGCCACGGTGCGTCTGGGTCCTCTGTCTCCTCCTCCTCCTCTACCAGATGCTCCTGCTCCTCCACTCCTGTCCGCTGAGTGGAAAAACCACCCATTTCACTCAATAATTCCTGAGCACAAATGTCCTCCTCTACCTCCTCCTCTTCTTCCTGTCCTGCCCCCACAGGGGTCATGTGGCGTTGAGATCTGTGCGCCACGTCTACCGCACCCTGACCAGCCATTGTTAACAGCATTTGTTCCAGGACGTGCAACAGAGGAATGACGTCGTTCATCCCATAGTCCTGCCGACTCACGAATAGCGTGGCCTCCTCAAAGGGCCTGAGCAAGCGGCAGGTGTCACGCATGAGCTGCCAATGGCTGACATCTAAGTTACACAGGGGAGTACCTTTATCCGCTTGTAACATCAGGAAATCGGTGATGGCCTTTCGCTGTTTCGTAAAGGCGGGTCTAACATGTGTAGGGTTGAATTCCACCTTGTTGCAACGTCGCAGATCAGGCGATGCTGTGGAATTCCGTTTCTGCCGCTGCAGCTCAAGGAGGGTGTGCTTTGCGGTGTAGGA